ATCTTTGGATGTTCACAATTTAACTGATTAATGATCGTTACAATAAAAATGACTTGAGTAGATATAAACTGTAAAACTTTGAGTTTAGTAATATTTACTACAAGGTGTTGTTGTTTTTTGAAGTTAAGCACAAAGCTACACAATCTATGCTCTGCCCACCAAGGGTATCGAGACCCGGTTTCTAGCGTTGTCAGTCCGCAGATATACTGCTGTGCCACTGAGTGGGAGCATTTACTACAAGAGAAAAAGTAAACGTGTGATTAAATAGGTATAATAATTATAAAATTGCCAAATACGTAGAACACATTTTAACATACATTTTTTAGGGTATAAATACATGTATTTTCCAAAACTTTAAAAGTGCCCTTACACCTAATAATAAATGTAAACTGGTCAACGTAACAACTACAAAAAAACAAACAAAAAACAAAACAAATAAAACGCATATAATAATGTATTAAAAATAAAATATTTATGTGAAACTATATAAAATGAAAACGCAATATGCGATTTTTCATTTGATTTTATTTTAAGGGAAGTAAAATTACCCAGTGTCAAGTGATATGCACATAGAGATATATATGATTTCATTACTGATCAAGTGATATGTACATAGAGATATATATGATTTCATTACTGATCAAGTGATATGTACATAGAGATATATATGATTTCATTACTGATCAAGTGATATGTACATAGAGATATATATGATTTCATTACTTATCAAGTGATATGTACATAGAGATATATATGATTTCATTACTTATCAAGTGGTTATCTTTTGTACGTCAAAACTATCTTACTTAGCAGTTTAATTAATATGTTAAAATCTACATATGACTTTTAATTGTAATTATTATTATCATTCAGTTGCATTGGTCGGTCACATGGGTCAGTTCTTGCCACAAAATATGTCAATATTTGTCGTATATATATGACAGCTAAAGAGTGAAGTATAGTGTTGTGTGTGTGCTTATCTTTTAGATATCTATATACAGTGCCGTGTGTGCTTATGTTTTAGATATTTATATATAGTGTAGTGTGTGCTTATTTTTTAGATATCTTCACGTTTACAATCAAATATTTGACTATTGACTTTCTCACGATTACCTGCACAGAGATGAGTGATGTTTGACGTTTCAGTCATAGCTTTATATAGTAAGGTTGGAGTTGCAGTAGTTGTGAGTATTTCTGACAACAACAACCAAAAAACAGGCTTAACTTGCTAGTTTTAGTAATTGATTAACATGCTGGACTTATTATGTAAACCATCATTTTAAATTATTTTATTCACTGTATAGAACTTTAGTATGTACTGTAATGACCATGACGCAGACCGTGATGTTTGATTTACTGGTTTCTTAAAATTTTCATTAATTACAGCCTCTTCTTATAGCTTGTACTGGCCTGGTTTCTTGACACTTCTTAACATATATATAACCCTAATATCTTGTACTGGTTTCTTGACATATTGATTAACTATATCCCCATTTTAGAGCTTGTACAAAATATAACTGATTTTTGGCAGTTTTGCCAACTTGGTATTTTCATCAGTTACATCTTTGAATAACTTGTACTTCTTTGTATATATATATATGTACACACACAGTTAGATTAACTATCCTTTGAAAACTTCACGTTCTAATTTACGGTACTTTGTAATCTCAGTATTAGAACCTATGATGTCTATATCCAGTCTGAACTAACAAATAGTGAATCTCAATTTGTTGGAACCCCAAATGTCATTAAACCTTTAATTTCTTTTGCAAGATAAGATGTAATTCAATACCAGATGTCATATATTTATCTCTGGTTATTGCAAGTAAATTTATTTAAAAACAATTACAGCTTAATAAGGTTATCAGCTTAATAAATTAATACCGTAAAGTTTATATTTCTGCTTATAACTTCACTGATGTATTGCGCTTATGCAGTATAATATGTATTGACTCTTACAGTTAAATACAAAACGCTTTGTCAGTACGTGTCTATCGTGTGGCAACTCCATTATAAACTACCAATTAACTTTAGTGAACTCTTGATATTTTCATATGCTATAATATCCATACACACTCTAAGAAAAAATAATGTTATTCCAATAAACACACATCCTTTGTTTTTCACACCTTTAGAGGAGTAAATATAGAATAAAGTTCACACTCCTGCTATGTAATTAAATTTGGATATATATAAATAGAATCAAAAGTCATGTAATGGGTATGTGAAAAACTGAAACAACTGTTAACAAAATCAATTACTTTAAGATAATTTTATGATTTTTATAAAATTTTATAAAGAATTACTAGAATAATATAACTCTTTAAATACTTTCTTGGGGGTAGACCCTGCATCAGAAGTTCACACCCATAAAAGTGTGAAATCACACTTTGGTTAATTGTTCATTAGTTAACCAAGTAATTACACTTTACAACTGCGTAATCTAATCAAGGTATAAACAAATTTCTTGTTAAATTCGTTAACTACTTCACGAATCCACGTATGTGTAAACTGGTGATACTTTTATAAATTAATCAATCTATAGCTGAGCCATTTTCTTGGTAACTAATACACCAACTTCTAAACTGACTTCTCGATAACTTTTCAGTTAGCTTCATTGATCGCCGATTTAAGCTGATTTTAAGATATCGTAATCAACTAATCACTTTACAGCTAATCCCCAGTAATGTCGTTAAATTGATTTGCTGATACTTTTATCAGCTAATAAAAGTAAAACTGAACTGATCACATGATAACTCCAATAATGTTCACTGTATATCTAAGCTGATTTACTGATAGAATTTTAATAAAAAAATCCATTGAACTAAACATATTACTTCGTCACTTTATCAGTTAATAATGTAAATTTATGAAGAATTAGAACACCCAAAATTAATCATTTTGCAAAAACAGTTGTGTCCTGATATCTTTATAAACTATTTACTAAACAGTTGTAACTGTTCCGAGAACTTCATTAATAAATAAATAGACAGCTAAAGCGGGTCAGCGGTAAGTCTACGGACTCACAACGCTAAAATCCGTGATTTGATTCCCCGCGGTGAACAGAACGCACACAGCCCACTATGCAGCTTAGCGCTACAAAATAAAGAATCAACCAAAAGTAAAAGTTATGGTAGCCTTAGATTAAGTTGTCAAAACAGTGACATACTTGCAGTAGTTAGGAGATAATTCCTTAGTTCAGATGGTAAACAGCTTACTTGACATGCGAAAGCTACTGGGTTTAATCTTGGAAGAATGCAAAAGTTTGATCAACATAGATAAAAAATTGCATCCAACGTTGAAGTTAAAAAAGGGTGATCTATTCAACTATAGTTAGCAAGGTACTTTTTAAATAATCAAATAGTTTGGGTACTGCAGTTCTTCTCTTTTACAAACAAGATATGTTCTGAGCCTAATCTCATGGTCGTGGGACAACAATTATCTGGGCACCAATTTTTCTGCGATAGTCAACATTTGCATCTCCCTGAAATGTATTCCTTTTATACCTTTGCACAATCCTGGGAGATGCAAAAGTTGGATTATTACAATCTGACAACTAAACCGATCTCTTTATAATTTCACGAAGTAATCACAGCACAGAAAAAAAAATCGCTTGATAATTTTTATCAATTAACAAGCATTTGCTGGAGAGACTTCTTGTCCTTATCAACCAATCACTATATGGCTTTATCGACGTCATTGTAGCATCCTAAACTATTGGCAGAGCTGACTAACAATATTTTGCATAGTTTTGATGACTGCGTGCAATAAAAAATTCAGTTAATGGTCTTTTAGTTAACAATGAAATGTAACTAATATTTGAGTTACATGTCTTTCGGTTTAAACTCTTAGATCAGTAGATCAAGTCACTTGATTTATGACGTATGGATTAAAACCTAATATGACACATTAGCGAAATATGAAGCGCATACAGATATAAACACGCTTTAATTTGTTTACATAAAATACGTTCTTTGTTAATTTTGAAAAGATTTGTTTCAAAACAGTTAGCCTATAAGTTCATTTGGTACAAACACTTTTCAGGGTTTCTGGATGACTGCACTACAACACGCACGAAATATATTTTTTGTTTTTATGAAAATTATTCAACCATTTGATTTAGCGGAAACATAGATACTACTTGTTTATATGTTAGTAACAAGAAAACGATTTTCGTAAAGCAACCAGTAATTATTACCGTCGTGTAATAATGTTCATACGATCCACTTAGCAACACAGGAATATATGAAATAGAGAGAATTGGCTAGGTCATAGAACAACCTATTTTGAAACACAAATCTTTCTTATTTAACCCTCGAAACATCCAAGGAAAACAAACAAAATTATTAAACCACTTCTGTTTGTAAATTGATTTTGAACGTTGCCTAGTTTTGTTATTAAACTTGAATTAAAAATTATGAAAATATCAGTCATGCATGATCTTCTCAAATTAATACCTTTGATCATATTCGATCTAAATAAATGTTCTATTGACTTGCGAAACAAATTATTAGAATACAGTTCTTTAGGAATAATACTGTAAGTACAACTACTCCAGTGGCCTGTAATAAGTTTCCGATTTTCCAAGTGATAAAAATAAAATAGAATAATTCCAATATTGTGATGTCTTCTGTGTCTTCTGTTAGGTCTGCTTAAAATAGACCAAACCTACAGCTTGAGTGTAATGACTACAGATAAGAGCAATTACACGCGGATCTGAAGGCGTTATCAAAAGCAAGGGATTATGTTGTAAGTTGATTTAAACGTAAGCCTGAGATTCACATTATTCAATACCATAACCTGGAAGTTTCTCTCTCTCTTACTCAAATTAACTTTCAGTGTTTGCTATTTAATGTACTTTCCACGTTGTTTTCTTTATATGCTCCTGACGTTTCACTGAATTAAATAGTGTCAACTAACTCATATATCAATAATTAAGTCTAATCGTTTTGAAGTAAATTGGTTGAGATATAAAAAAAACAACAACATTATTTACTTACCTTTAAAATCTGAATGTGTATTTGATTGGCCAGAATAAACAGGAAGTCTACTGGTTTCGAGATTAAGCACCATTCCCTGTTGATAAGTGACTTCAGTGAACACGTTTTAATGACTGTTTATCATTGTTAGTCAATCGATGCCATTCAGTAGTGTCATTCCTTTCTGTTTTAGTTTTATAATGGTAGAGTTCTGAAAAATGATCCCTGTTGCTTAGTTTAGGTTTATACAAAAATAAAAATTCTCCAGCACTTTTGCCGTAGCTTGATAGCTCTTCTTGTGATTGTTCGAGTGGGAACCGCTTCGCTTCCTGTTTTTCTACTGTTTGCAAACTTCTGGGATACGAATGACGATTCCCAAATGTGACGCAGCCATTGTATCCCGCCTTCGTTCTTTAGTAGATATCACAATAGCCTATCAGGAAAGAGAACCTCGCCCATTAAGGCAGAGCATGGAAGCCACTGTGTAGAGTGTTAAATGTAGGCGTGGTCTGGCGCTTTCTAGAGACGAAGACAACAACGAGTGTTTACGTAGGATAGTGCTAATAACAACAACAAAAAAGAAAGAACAAAAGAGATAAAATATCGATAAAGATAATATTATATTGTACATTAAGTAATTATTGTAAAAGTTTTCAATATATCAACGCTGATTTTTGAAGGAAAGACGTATTTTCTTCTCTGTAGGATATATATTATTTATTTCCTGTTATATTGAGGACATTTAAATGATTCAAACGTTTTTGTTTAGTGATCTAAGCTAAGTTCTTTTGCCTCCCTCGTTGGATTAACCGCTTAAGAGTTTATAACGCTACATTTCGATGTTCGATCCCTGCAACCGACAAACAACCCATTGTGCAGCTTTGAGCTAAAACAGAAAACAACAATTAGTTAGTTAGAATCCGAATTCTAGACGTAGATCTGGATTAATTTAGAAGTAGATCGGGTTTAATGCAAAATTCCAAATCTAGTTCGAAGATTTGAAGATATCCATATGAAAACGGAAAAAGAAAATCATTTTACCATGCGTTCATTTTAGGCACATTTTATTTCCTATGTGTTTATGTTTACAATTGCTTATTTTTAGTTTATTTCGAAAGTTTCAAGCAGATGTTTCATCAGCTTACATTTCAAGCAATGTAATGAATAGATTAAGAGCTGAGGGTAACACTCTAACTAGGATCATAATTAATGAATGCCATTTTAAAACATAACATTTTTGAGCATGCCAAGAACAAGCATATTGCTCCTTTTATTATTTAATCTATTGTTTGAATGCAAATAGACAAACAACGAAAAATCTTATCGATGGTTTGGCCATAATGTTAATTTTGAGTGAAATAATTTTTGATACATTCTTGGGCCTTTTTTATTTTAGATAATAAAAAAAATTTTTCTCGGGATTACATTGAGCTTATAACGATACGTTTTAAATATTTAAGTAATAAGACTAAGCAGGAATTAAGCAACCATAACAAATTGATTAATTTTCGAGGGTGTTTGGGTTGTTAATAAGTTGCTTTTAAAATTTATATAAACTCATTAACGTGTAATGGAAATGTGAGACAGAATTTTTCTAGAACTTCTAAAAAACATTTTAACGCAATTCTTTAAAACGTTCTCATAGGGGTTAGTACGTAACAGAAATAATTTAACAAATTAGACGCTTAATAGAAATAAAGCAACAATAACATACTGATGTATAGTTACAAGAGTAAGCGAAACTAAACAATAATGAGTAGTTTTATATGCGGTAAGAATAGGATAATACTAAAGAAAGTAACAATAATAAGGTATTTAATTTTTGTAGTGCAAATTGGAGTATAAAAGTAGTTTTAATACTAGCAATAAACCACCTTATAACACCAAAAATTTGTTATGTTTCTTCTTCAATTGGACATTAAACGTTTCGCTTTACAGTCTTTTCAGGAGCGTTCTGCTAAAACATAAAGCTGAAGAAAGTAAAAATAGTAAGTCTTTTGATAGGTGAAAAGAATAAAGTAACAATAATAAATTATTTGATAGATGACAGGAAGAAAGTGAAAATAGTAAGTCGTTTGATAGGTGAAAAGAATAAAGTAACAATAATACATTTTTTGATAGATGACAGGAAGAAAGTAAAAATAGTAAGTCGTTTGATAGGTGAAAAGAATAAAGTAACAATAATAAATTATTTGATAGATGACAGGAAGAAAGTGAAAATAGTAAGTCGTTTGATAGGTGAAAAGAATAAAGTAACAATAATAAATTATTTGATAGATGACAGGAAGAAAGTAAAAATAATAAGTTGTTTGGTATGTGACAAAAATAAAGTAACAATAATAAATTATTTGATAGATGACAAGAAGAAAGTAAAAATAATAATTTGTTTGGTATGTGACAAAAATAAAGTAACAATAATAAATTATTTGATAGATGACAGGCAGAAAGTAAAAATAATAAGTTGTTTGGTATGAGACAAAAATAAAGTAACAATAATAACCGAACGAAAGTTACCAAAAGAAGTTGATTGACACGTTGCAAGAACCAAAACAATAATAATATGTTAGAATTTTTAATGAAGAAGTGAAAACTGAGACCATGCATAAACTCTGATTAAGCTGTGCCTGGTCGAATTCCTAATTTTATAGTTCTCGTATACTTGATTAGTTAGAAAGGAACGGCATGACTCTTGACCTATGCCAATAGGCTTGGAAAAACTTAAAATCTGTTTATTCTTATTTTTAGCTGAAAGCGTTGTAGCAGGTTTTTATATGTAAACATTTTAAGAATGATGCTTGACTATTGTGGCTAAAATCTCGATGTGAAAAAACACACAAAAGAATTGTGACATTGAAAGAGACTGTACTGGTTAAAAGATCTGTTCTGTTTAAGCAGAATTTGGGTGTCAAATGTCAGTCGATCTAAGTTTTCATTTCTCCAGAGTATTTTCTAACCTTAAAGGACATTTTTACACTCACTATCAAACTGTACGATAAGTAACAATAAGAAGGATTCAGCTAATTATTAATAGATACAATATATGGAGAACAAATTAAAGAACTCACGGGAGATATTTAGTAACAACAACGATTCTTTTTATCTGTTGCGAGATGTTTGTTTGTATGTTGTTAAGCACAAAGCTACGCAACGGAATATCTATGTTCCACCCCCAAGGGTATCGAAACCCAGTTTTTAGTGTTATAATCCTTCAGACATACCGCTGAGCCACTAGGAGGCTCGTTTATATTTTTTTCTTATAGCAAAGCCACATCAGGCTAGCTGCTGTGTCAACCGAGGGGAATCAAAACCCTGATTTTAGCGTTGTAAATCTGTAGACTTACCGCTGCCCCAGCGGGGGACAGGAGGCTCGTTGGAAGATGAGTTCGCGTTTTTACATCACACGTTTGTTTCCGATTTATCAATGACTTTGTGGTTGACGTATGGGTGGGATGAAAATTAAATACAAAATACGTTTCTAATACTTTTTCTATCACCCAAGTGAATAATGTATGTAATACGAAATGTTAGATGATAAAGTCTACTCATATTTTACAAAAACCACTACACGATGGAGAAGTGTTATTTATGTCAGTTCTGTGACCAGATAGATGTGTTTTCTCACACTTATAAAACACAATATTTACTGGATGATATGTAGGCAAACTACAGCCAAACTTTACTTGCAGGTTGAAGTATCGTAAATTTGTATAAAAAAACATTCGTGTTTTTTAAACCAGTTAGGCCTGATATTGAGGTAATGGTAATACATATTATCAATTTAAATTTAAAGAAACCATTAGTTAAATAACTAAAATAATATTCATTATGGTCGCTATCCTGCTAGAGAGTTTTTTCTGTATTATTCATTTATTTGTAGAATTGAGATACATTTTTTTTCATGCTTACAGTAAACTTTTCAAATTCACCCACATTATTTCCAGATAAGAACTTTTTAGATAAGGTTCTTTTTTACGTTTTTAATTACGCTTATTGAAGTTTACACAGCTTGTTTGTATCAATTTCTTGTTTTTACTTCAATTTAAGCCCATTCCTCTAGTCCACGCGCGGGGTGAAGGAGGATTGCTTAATCTTCGATTACCCCAGATTATTAATTATTTCTTCTGAAATAATCATTTTCAAATCAAAATAACTGCCAAAAATAATAATAATATTCTTTTTTATTTGCTTAAAAAGTGATGTCCTTCCCTTATGTTAATAATGCTACGAAAATATAATCTTCTAATATATATATATCTACTAACAGAGATCCACAATACATTTGTGGTCAAATCAGTATCTTTATTGCAACAGTACTTCTTTAAATACAGGATTTCTAGAATAATACAAAAGAATTCGTGTCTTAGTCCTAGCACTAATTAAGCCTTTATTAAGTACGGATTATATTTGATAAAGAAAATAAAACACTGTAACTTGTGTACGTTTTTTGCTTCAATTTAGTTAGGGCTAAACTTTGCCATTCTTAATACTACCAATAAATAAACTTATAAATGTTATTCTACGACCCAACGTTAGACATTTTAAAAACTTTGATAAGCTTTTAATATGTTGTTGTAAAAAATGTCTACTAAAGTAAATTTATATCTGAAAAAGTGCACGCGCATTTTTAGGTCACACATAAACTGAGTATTATTATAATAGATACTAAGATCATTCATGTTTTTATACATGCTACAAAGGTATAATTTTCTATATATATATATATATACTATGATCATGGAAGTTTTGTACATTTTTTTATCTTAAATTCATCTCACTGAACCTGTTAGAATAGGTTTTTTTTACCTCATTCCTAAATCTAGTTTCGTTTTATAGAAAATTTTCCATTAAGCTATAAAATGTGAGGTGGTTGAGAACTTTTTTTTTCTAAATCTCTACTTTTCAATTTCTAATGAGCCTCCTTCCTGATGCAAATAATATATGGGTTGAGCGTGGCCTAGTGGTTAACATGCCACACTGTTGATTTGCGGGTCCAATGTTCACGTGAAGTTACTGTAAACAAACAAAGCTAAACTAAAAAAAAAAAAAAAATACGCGTTCAGCACTTTAGTCTATAGGGGCGTTGAAGTCGTTACTTGTATAAAGTGAAGATACTTTAACCTTTTCAGTTTCACTGTGTTAAATTTAACTATTAACCACAGTTTAGTTACTACTAGATGAATCAACATATTTTAATCTTCTCAGTTTCTCTAAAATAAGGCTCCCCCACCCCAACGGCTTAGAGTTCAGTCTGAAAGCTTATAACGCCCAAAACAGGGCTTCATCAAATAGGATACTGCTATGTTTTTCAGTTGTAAGCAACGCCTACACAACGGTGGTTTTAGGGTCTCTTTTTTTCCGTTAGAGTTGACTGCATTACACTGACAAACACTCTATGAATTGCGGAGTGGTTACAAATATCAACGTTAAAAATTAACGTTAAGCTAGTAGTAACTAAATTGTAATTAAGAGTAAGCCTTAACTTAATTCTTGTTTATTTGTTTGTTGTTAAGCGAAAAGTTACTTAATGGGCTATCTGTGCTGTGCCCACCACGAATATTAAAAAACGACTGCATGTAGTAGATTACGAGTACAAATTGTTAAAACTGTAATTACCTAATTCACAGGGTAAATATACGACGGAATGACCATTGAAGGAAGGAGATAATGTGTTTCAACTTTACCTCACTTTATTACAGCGTTAATTCAAGAGAAAGTATACTTCTTAAAACAAATAGAAAAGTTGGGTAAATACGAGGATATGAGCGATATATCTAAATACGTGTTCATTCTGAAGTTTTAAATATAAATTATTGATGGCTAGTGACGTAATGACTGATAAACACTGTCGATTAATTTTAACATGCAGGTTATCTGTTTAGTATCAAA